CTTCAAAAGACATAAAAAGTTCTTTGCCATCAATTTTTGCTTCTTCCACATTCAACTTCATTGCAACCAATGCATCTTATGTGAATTTTTAATCACCTGGAATTGAAAAATGTATGGATTTTGTCAGATGATGCAGCAATGTATTTAATGTTTCATGCATGTCATGATAAGCTTTTCTTGAGCAAATATTTCAAGGTAGGAGCAAAATTTGGCACATTATTGAACAAAGTAGTTTTTATCTTGATTTTGATGTACTAACCTGTTTAGTACACTGTGTAACAAACAATTCATTTACAGAAACACCATATGGCATTTATAAAACTTTTAGCATAAAGCAAACCTTTACACACCATCATCATGCTTGTCCAAATCTGTCAAATTGTCCAGGCTAGCTGTTTAATACAGGTAATTTTTATTGTACGACATGTACCAAAGAGCTCATTAATTAATCCTGCACTGCATTTGATTTCAATACAGCTCTGTCCTTAATATTTGCTTCATATTTTCAGAAAAATATCATGAAAAAATCCTCCATTTCAACTCAGTTGAAACAAGGAGTTTTAAGATATGCATATCTCGATAAGAACTGGTTGCAATGCCTCGTCTAGCAATCCATTAAGTAAAGGACAAATAAGACTGGATAAACATAACTTAAATTACAACTTAGGAGTAAAAACATTCACAAAATATATGCCATCACACTTCAAGTATTGACTTAAAACATAACACTGAACACTTTAAATAGTAAACAATCTTACGTTGCTTACCGGTGTCATGAAATGTTTCCTTTTCTGGCATTACTTCAGCATCCGTATACCAAACAAGTTTGCAGCATGTTTTAAAGATAAAATTTCTAAAAGTTTTTGTGCTTGGCATTGATATTTTCTATAATCGCAATTGTGGTTGTCAAATCCGGGTGGGCGAAAAAAATTTCATTTTATGAGCCCGCGTCTTTCCGCTGACTTTGACAACCAAAATCCGCCATGTTTTTGACCACGCGGCCGCGCGCTAATAATTTATACTAATTTTGTTGACGTTTCCCCTCCAGGTCTTATAGAACTCAATGGTACTTACGGACAGGGGCGGATCTAGAGTATGTCAAATCCGTCGCGCGACTGATGTTTGAAATTCAAAAATTACCTATTCATATTAATTAAAAATTCATTAATTATTCTTATTTTCTTATCGCATTTACTTCGTGATAAAAATCCCGCATTATTTATTATTGAAAACTAATGACTAATCTAATGAATATCTCCTTGGTAACCAGATCAGTTGAATTTTAATTGACCTGAAATAACCGACTGATAAGCGGGGTGGCTTGACTGGTTCGACGGATAAAGGAGTCTATGAAGGTCAAAAACGCTTATTTTATTGGTCAATAGCCAGATCAGTGGACACTCTGGAATTGTCTCGACTGATAATAAGGGTGGCCGGACGTATAAGGGAGTCCAATTGCTATCTTACAATTGGTTCATTTGAATTTTTGCTTTATTGTGATTGGTTTGACGGATTTCGACTGATAGCCAACTGAACTAACATAGTCAAGCTCACTGTCTGAATTGAATGTTTGATCGTTTTATAGTAATTTTTATAAGCATGATAGAAACTAAACTACAATCAGATGGAATTTATGGAAATCTTTTACAAATTCATATATTGACATGAATGCTGCTGTCCAAAATGTGAATTTTTTCAAGAGGGTGGAAATTTATGGATAAATTTTAAATGCTTGGCAAAGACGATCTCGCGAGCGACATTTCAGTCATTGATGTTCAAAAGAAAGCCAACATTGTTTTGAGTTTTATCAGCAGAAATTTACATCCAAAATCGTAAGTAAAGGACAAGTGAAGTGTATGCATGAATGTAATATATCAAAGTCAATTATGCGAGTGTGTGATGCGATTTATGTCAATATGGCGTATGGTAAGCAGATTGATGCTTCTAAAATTGTTGTTGCCAAAGGACTTTTAGCTATGATTTCTTTAGTGCTTGGGGAATCGTGGCCGTTATACGGCAGCGAAATCCTATATTCCTGCAAATATATTTCAATGGACAAAAAATCTGTAGCCATAAGGCGCCATACTATTATTTACTTTATCATAAACAAATGTTTGGGGTTTTTCAGTTTATGATCATTGATCATTCAATCATTGGACAGTTATACTACATATTGTTTAAGATTTGAGAAAACTAACATTGATTACATGAGAAGCTGTTTACTATAACCTGTGATTTTGAGTCTTCTGATCCATGAAGCTTTTTATTTTGACAATTTGACTGGAATGGTATTAAACCTGAGTATTTCACATACATGGAATGTTGTCCCATGTCACATATTGTCCCCTTTTCTAACTGAACACCTCATGTAGAGATGTAAAGGTCTGTCAATCTACGGCTCATACCAGATTGTTTGCCATAAATTCCAAAGGGCTATTGATGTATGAAAAGCATTTTCTATAAAGTAAAAATGCTTTTCTATGTATGCAGATAAACCTTGAAATTTGGCAAAACAGCAAAGTAGATTTCATGATCACTAGGTAAATTTTCTGATGATCATTATAATTTCTAAACTAAATTATTTCTGATTTACATTTAAACAAGCTTTGATCATATGAAAAGATATTTATCATAACCAGTAAGCATGACACATGAGACAATTTTAACATTCATGTAATTATATAATTAAAGACATGTTGGTTACATTATGTTTGTATTTGCAAATACAATGCTACTAGTGATTGCTATATAGCACACCTTGCATATACTTACAGGAGATAATAGTCTAGTGAAATGCCTAATAAACATTTATGGCATTAAGCTGTCCTTAACTGCAAATTTTCACTCTGATAATTTTTGCTTAACCTTTGGCAGAAAAAAATTTTGAGTTTTTTCTCAAAAGGTGAATTTGCTGGCACTGATGTGGAGATGGGTAAAGGGTTACAATAAACTTGCATGGTTTGAAGTCTGAGCTTTTCTATATCTATGAACTGTCACTTGTAGTACCAAATTTCTAACTTAACTAAATTCATTACATAGAGGTTTGAATGGGGGTCTCTAGGGGTCTATGCCTGACAACTTGGTAGAAATTTTAAAGACTATATCTGTTTTAAATAGCATTATTGTAAAATAAATTTTACGTTCCTAGACATGCTAATGAGCCATATATTTGGCATGATAATGAGCCTAAATATTTGGCAAAACATTCAAGTATTGTTCACTTCATTTTTTTTTGAAAAACGTAAGCAAAATGTTTTGTTTTTACGCAAAAACGATGCCCACAAATACATTTTGTATTGCTCTAAAACGCTGAAAATGGCATTTTCAAGGCTCTGAAATTCAAAATTTCTCAGGGGAGAATGCCTCAGACCCCCCCAGGTGCGTAGCGCCTTCGACGTTTTATGACTGATGTTTGAAAAATCCTAGATCCGCCCCTGCTTACGGATTATGCTTGGTATCCGCCGGTATCCAAGTAATCGGTAATTGTCCATCACTAAGATTTAGCTTCCAGAAATTGTTAGGCTTTCCTATTATTACAGGCATACGCAGCCCTTAACCACGGTATGAAATAATATTCGTATCTTACTCCCAAGTAACTTGATGACTTCAACAATTTATATTGCATTGATCGATTAATCTCGCACAACGTTCGTGTAACGTGCAGTCTTATAAGTTTAATTATTAGAGAGATTTAGGAAACGCGACGTATCACCTAATACGACGTGAAAATGGTGTAAATATGGCGTTGACCCAACCATATATGGGAACATCACGCCTATTACATGAGGCGAGTTGTCCTGCTTAAACGGGTCAACTCGCCTAGCCAAGACAAGTTAAAAATTGCAACTACATGAAGGGTGTTAACCAGCACTGGAGTGCAATTTTTGGGATGAATCAATTAATTACGTGCTTTGTTTCGATTATGAATTTTAAAAATACATGAATGTATATCTGTTTTGTTGACTTTGCAGGACTAAATGTAGTATTTCGATACTTGTGAGCCTTTAATAATACGTAATGCTTCACAGCTATTGTTTATCCGCTTTAAACTGAATTATTAAACTCGATATAAGTTTCATATTTTAATAACACGTCCAGTAAATCTTATATTATTTTGGTATCGCATTCAAACTTCTGGGTAACAATTTTTCCTATTAATTTTGGAAGCTAGTAGCTTCCTTTTGAACAAAGAAACAAGTATACATCGCTCTCACGTCTATGTCAGTTTAAACTGACCAATAAACCCATGTGTGAATCAAATTCCTTGGCCCGCTTTGCCGAGCTAACTCGGCACATTGCGATTACATTTTCATCCTGCCTAAGCGAGTAACTGGGCAAGCAACAACCGGGATCCTGGCAAGCGGGAATATTCGCTTGCCATGTAATCACACTGTCAAAATGATATATAACAATTATACAGAGCGCACAGTAAAAAGAAAAGGGCCATTTTAGCCCCATGAGGTCGTTTTGGCTTTTGAAATTGCTAGCCGTATTGGCTAACAATAAGGGCTAAAACAGACAATAGAGCCGTTTTGGCTCCATGACGGTTGTTTTTGCTCTACAATTGGTGCCAAAATAGAAATATACGGGCGTTGAGGTCGTTTTGGATTTTGAAATTGCTAGCCATATTGGCTAACAATGAGAGCTAAAACAGACAAGAGGGGCCGTTTTGGCTCCATGAGGGTTGTTTTTGCTCTACAACTGGTGCCAAATTGGTTCGAGAGCAACTTGATGACTGCATCGAATCGGGTGACACAATACAAATATGGCGGCCAACTATTTCATGATGCACGCGCGTTTCGATTGCTGTTTTCACTATGATAACGGCCGTAGATGACTATGATATTGCAGGAAAAATAATATTCTATTATCATTCAAAGTATAGAGTTTTTGAAGACGACCATTTGCTTTGTTTGTAATGGTTTTTTAAAGTGATTCAATTGTCGTAGGAGTGAACGGCAGAAAACAAATTATGTCAGGTATTGTCTAGTACGAATGTATTTTTTGCATTTTAGCAGTTTTAATTGCTTTTGAACAAACTAAATCACATATTATGACAAAGATATGATATTTTAGTTCTCAAAAAAATATTTGATAGGCAATATTTCACAATGTGATGATATTTATTATGAACATACACACTGCATCTTTTAAATCAGTAAATATAGGTCTCCTTGCAATTGAAATCAGTTGTATTGCTTTCAGCTGCGACCGATATCGTGGTAAAATGTTACCCAATGTGTAGTAAACAAGTCCTATGTCAAATATAGAGAAAACAAGCAAATTAGTTTAGAATATTTTTAAAGTTGATTTGCAATTTGTGTTTTGTGAACATGAACTCATTTGTGCAACACTTTGTGGCAATACTTTGCTGCAACACTTTGGACAAAAAGTCAAAATTATAGTAAATTAATTAGGGAGGAAAGGATTAGGTCAGACAATAAATCTGATATAATCTGCAAAGATTAATAAATGTGGCTGATGTAGACCTATAAGTACTGCACCTAGTTTATGTTTTCCTGTCTTGCTTCCCAGGGGATTGACAATTTCTACTTCATCATAATATAATATAATTTGAAGAGCAGTAGGATCGATGGAAAACAAAGGATGGCTTTTAAATTCATTGCCATCACAATAATCTGATAACAGCCCATCTTGTCTTTGGTGTGAATGCAAGACCTAAATAAGTGTATATATATATATATACAAAATGTATAACAATGTGCCCTCCCGGCTATCACCACAGTAAAATGGTGACTCCAGCACTTGGGACACAGGACGTACGGTTTATATATATATATCATTTATATTCTTGAAATAAGTTTGTTAAAAAATTGAAGCATTGGAGTGCCCAAATGGTGAAAAAATATTGTGAACAAACATAAATTTGGGCAGAAAAGCCAGTCAGCTGCTATATCTAGAATAGCATGCTGTGTATGTCACTAGTTTATTTATGTTTAAGTAACCTGATCTAATATGGCTGGATCTTGCAGCATTTGCTCAGGGCTCTTAAGAAGAGGAATTTCGATGACTTCATCTTGTTTTGGGACTGTTCTTCTTCCAACACCAATTCTTTTCTGAACATGGGTGATTCCCAAGACCCTTTGTTTTGGTTCCTTCGGGAAAAACAAAGATTTAAAATGACAATTAAAAACACTTGAAAAAAATTTGACATGGCAGATAAATGCTTTTATAAACAAAGTATGAATTTCTGTCTATAGGTCTAATTTACTGAAAACCTACAACCACTCCCATAACATCTCTAAAAAAGTTATCTTGTTGCGCAAGTACAAGCCATTTTTCTAAAACTCACTAAGTCACTTCATATGGAAAAGCTCAACACATGCCTTGCACGTGAATCACTGTGCAAGCCAACCGCGCACGCGCAATCGCCGCAATGGTCTATTTTATCTTTTTTTTTTATGGTCTATTATTTAAAAAAGCAGCAATAATGCATATGATAAATCTCCATTCTGTACTCTAATAGGTAAATAAGCTCAAATTTTTCTTAAAGAAATTTTTTCTTTATAATTTACTATAGACATCAGTGGGAGGTCGGGAATATTATTTTTCTGCAAAGCGATCATTTCAGCGGAAATACGTCATTTGGCCGCCATTGTTTTGGCGTCCTCGCCCCAGTAAAGTTAGCCGCTCCAGTTATTATAGAACTCAATGGTCATTTCACTTACTTGCTGATCGTTTTTGTAGTCTAGTCGTAACATTTGCACCGAACTTCTTGCAATGCCTTCATTTAAAGATTTAACCACCTCTGAATTGTCCACGTTATTGAAAAAGAATGGAGTGGATAATGAAGTCATTGAAAAATTTCAAGGTAGTTGTTGTAAATATTTATATGTTAGTATGACGCTTTTTATGGAAACCTAGAAGACATTGCTAAAATTTTGATATGCAGTGGAAAATTTCTCCCAAGTTAGACATAACCAGAGGCGAAACTAGAACGTTAATTGGGGGGGTATATATTCATATATTCAGCTCTGCCCTGCTGATTTCTTTTGTTTGCGATGTTAATTTCAAAAGAAGTCAGCAGGGCAGAGCTGAATACATGAATATTTACCCCCCCAATTAACGTTCTAGTTTCGCCCCTGGACATAACAGTTATCTTTGAAATATTCTAGGACATTTCTCATATATATAACGCTTTAATTCATTGACACCGTTAACCCTTGATCGGCATTTTTTTTGAGTAAACAACGTGCGTACGACACCCACGTTGTTTACTCAAAAAAAATGCCGATCAAGGGTTAACGATGTAAAAAAATACACTGTTTCACGAGATATCAATCAAGAAATTCTTTTATTACCAATTCTAAAAGAAAAAAACTATATTTATAACGCAGATAAAGGAAATAGTTATTTTCCCAAAAATAATGCCAAGGTCGGGCAAAGGTCGCATGCGCTTTCACGTGATTAATAATAGCAGACTTACCGTATGTAAAAACATTCAAGCTTTAAGCAAGAGCTTGGGAAGATTGTTTGATAATGAAAGTGGATTTTTAGCTACAAACTTGCAACTAGGCTTTGCAAAATCTAATTACGATAATATATGCACGTACCTTCTCAGCTGCAGAGATTGATGGAGAACTCTTTCCAACACTAACTAGAGAAGAGTTTAGTGACATGTTTAAGAATCTCCGACAAAAGCGTGCTGCTATTGCAATTTGGTCCAAACTTTCTGGCATGGTACGTACGTGAGCACTTATTAGATCAAACTCTTTCTAAAAACTTTTCAGAATGTCATGTTTATACCAGCAAACGTTTAGTGTTTTTTAGAACTGTTTAAACTTGTCATGCTTATTTTTAAGGTGTTTGATTCCAATGGAAATCCAATGGCTTCAGACTCTCCAGAGTTGAAAAAAAGGAAGAAGCACCATGTTATAAGCTCTTCTGACTCATCTGAAACCGATGATGATAGAAGTGCAATATTTTCTTTTGATGGCAATGCATCCAGTGAAAAAGGGGACTTGGTAAACAAATTTGCCATTTGGTTGATTTTAGCATAAAGGATGAAATTTATTGCTTATTGTATACCAAAAAATGTTATAGCCATTTATGAAATCAACACGTAGTTTTCCTAGGTTGATATTTGTTCAGTGAAAAGGTTCCTGACAGTTATATCGAAATTGACAGTGCAGGAATGCACAAGGTTTGTTTCTTCCTTATTTACATTCATGTACCTTGCTATTTCTTGTTGAATAGTAACAAAAAACTTAAGTGTAAAAAGTTGTTAATGATGAAGTGATTTAAAATAAACAATTCTTTTGACAAACCCAAATCATTGTTAAATTGTGTGCACCATGTGCATTCATTAAAATTTGCAGCATATAATGATATGCTGGTTTAATTTTTTTCTTTAGAGTGATAGCTTACCTGTAACACCAATTCAGGTTGGTGCACTTCTGTTTCTGATCATTTTAACTAGTAATAACACATTTTGTCATGGTTACATATAATAATACATATAGTCATGATCCCAATGGTTCTGTATTGGGGTGGAGGGTCCTCTAGTTTAGATTAGGCTTTGATAACTTGTTGCTATACATATTATGTCAAACATTTGTTGAAATCTTATTACCTCTTTATTAATATTACGAGATTTCTATTGTTGGTTTTATTTGTATTTTTTGTAGTGATAATAGTAACAGCATCACCATAAGTCCTGCTCCTTCACACCCTCTCCTAAGCTCATTCCTACTTAAACTTGCTGTGAACATTCACTAATAGTTCATTTGTAATTTTAGTGTCCAAATGCTCTTACTGAAACTACCAGTACCCCAAAAGTATGCAAGTTTATCTTCATTTGTTCAATGAATGGAAATTGAAGTACTTCTAAAATCTAATTTGCAATTGAGTAATATTTTACTTGTTTCAGGATTGGTTACGGAACTACAAAATTCCAAATCGTGTAAGTACAATACACTAACAGCAGCTGATTTATTACACAGAATAGTAAGAATATTATGCTTAAGTGGGTGGTTAAAGTTGAAGGCTTACAAAAGTCCCTAAGGTTTAAGTCCTTTTAGAGGTGAGCTGATGAATGATCAGCTTTTGTTTAAGAGTTGGTCTCTCAACAGCCATTTCTTTAGCCATTTTACAAATTTGAAAACCACAATTGTATTTCTAAATTTCTGACATTATCTTGCCCCTAAACTAGCCTCCAACCATTTTTTGGGAGGGAGGAAGACAGGTCACAACAAGCGTTTTTGTGTTGTAGTATTCTTATGCTGTTGAAGCTGGGTTGAAAACAGAGTATTTACCCCCAAATTTGATTAACGAGCTCATCAGAGATGTCTGCACAAGTGTGCTAAGATTTACAAGCCATCCCAGCAAAACAGAACGTGTAAAGATTGCACTTATGATTGTTGAATCATATCCATTCTTGAAGGATCCACTGTTGGATGCAAACTCAAAGCCATGGGTAAATAATACTTAAAAGTGTTTATAACATTTTGTTCAATTATTGTTTTGTTTTGTTTCATTATACGTATGTGTCAAATAATAATGAATATTGATCACATGAATGTTAGCTTCTTGTAAGCAATAAGAATTTTGCTAAATCATGCCTGCTAAAATCAATAACTGGGTGACTGACTAGCTTTCTCTTATAGGGATCTATTGAGATGAAAATCTATAACCGATTCAAAAAATTGCAAAGAAAGAGATCTAACACGCCTGTTACCAATGTCTTGCAAACTAAAGGCAAAACAACAAAGAAAAGGAACAGTCACTGTTGGACGAACGTTCCCGAGCCTTGCGAAAGTGAAGATCTTACAGCAGTGGTATCAAAAATAAAAAAAGAGTGGCAGTCAGCCAAAAAGAATCATGAAAAAATTCAGGAGTTGATGGCTGCATGCTATGCTTCTAGAAGATCACTTGTCTTGGAAGAAGTCAGAAGAATAGTGGAAGTTGTTGAAATGTTCCCTCCTTTAGCCCCGTTCACACGGGGAAATTTTCTTTGACAAATGATATGTGACAAATAAATTTTGTCCGTGTGAATGAACAATTTGTTACAAATTTTTTATGACAAATGAATTTGTTCAAAAGCTGGGTTGTTAGCTTTTTTTTGTCGTATAAAATTTGTCAATAATCAAATTTGTCCGTCTGGACGACCATCACATCAAATGTGTCAAATTTTATCAAACAACATGGCGACGACGCAAGGAGCGAGGACAACGAAACATGTGATTTCTTGGACTGACAGCAGTATTTCTTTACTTCTCGATGCCCTTAAGACAAGAGAGAGAGTTTGTGGAACTCTAAGCTGACATCGTACCGAGATAGAAATATAAAGAAGAGAGAATATCAAGAAATAGTTGCCATTTTAAGCGCCGAAATTCCCGAAATGGATTTATCAGCTGTAAAAGGTAACAGTATTCAAAATGTAATTGTTTAAATTTGTGTTACACTTTGATAGCTCTTAAACATTTTCTTTTAATTTTTTGAAACGATGCACAGTGCCCTTCAGTAATTTGGTTGATGAATATTGTCTGGTCACTATAAGAGAATTTCTCAATTAGTATCAATATTCAGCAGGAAACAGAAACTGCTGCAAGTTGTCTGTAATATTGTTGTGAAGTATTTATTTTTGCTACAGCTAAGATTCAAGGACTTCGAACGACCTTTTGTGAAGAAATAAGAAAAATTAAAAAACGTGAGCATACTGGTTGTGGATCAGCTGAAATATATGTCCCAAAATGGAAGTTTTTCAATGAATGCTTCTTTCTTGAAGATGTTGTTGCATTAAATAGACCAACATGCAGTAACATTGAAGATGAAATAGACATTTCCAATACAGGCGGCAATGAGCATGAAATTTGGGGAATGGATGGAAATTCTGAAACTGGCAGCACATGCAGTGATACATCATTTGGTATGCATCCAAAAAAAAGAAAAAGAAGCTCAGAAGAAAATGAATGGATGAAGACTGCAGCAAGTGCACTTACCAAGTTGTCCCAAGATAATGACGATCAACAGGATGAATGGGATGTGTTTGGGGTGGATGTTGCTAATTCCCTTAGAGCCATCAACAGCCCAGAGTGGCAAAGACGAGCTAAGTTTGCTGTGCAGTCTGCCATTTTCCAAGCTGCAGAAAAAGCTCGATGCACAGTTTCCAACTCTACATTACGTACAGATAGTACCATCCCAGTTATTGATTTATTTTTTAAAAATTTTAACAACTGAATATTTTCATTTTTAGAATTGATTTTTGAATACACTGCCTCTTACTTAATTAATTCAGAATGTTGATATTACAGTTTTTTAAGTGATGTACTTTTCTACTAACAATTAATCTCCTGTATAGGGATTGTTTAGTTTCTAGGCTGTTGTTTTTTATTTTGTAATATGTGAAGAAACACTAACCATACATTTTTCATCCATGATCCATCAAGCAAAATGATTTTTTGAATTAAAAAATTCCAAAAATAAAAATTTTCTTGATTATATGATCGCAAACGTGCGTGTTTATGGGTTCTAAAAAACTGAATTTAATTAAATGTAAATAGATAGCTTTAACATAATCATTGAGTCATCTTCCATTGAAATGGAACAGCACCTTCTTCAAAAAAGTAATCTTTCATGTCATCACGAACAGCTCTAGCTTGCAATGTAGAAGACCGTTCACTTGGATGACTGCATAAATCAGTGATTGTGCATGTATTGTCAACTTCCTTTCTCCATGCACCATGCATTACAATACAATTTTCATCTTCATCATCCAAATATTCAGCAGGAGCATAATTTGTATCATTTCTTGATATAAGGTAATTATGAAGGGCTAGGCATGCACGAACCACTTCTATAACGTTTTCAACATTTAATTCTTTAAAAGAACTCTAAACCTGGCACAGAGAATACCAAAAGCATTCTCGACAATTCGCCTAGCCCTCGATAAATGATAATTAAACACCTTTTCATCCCCCATTGCCCACCTATGAGGATAAGGTTTCATTAAATTAACATTTAATGCAAAAGCCTCGTCACCTAAAAGAAAATATGGGACATTGTTGGGTCTTTTTCCCAATTTCGAGGGCATCGGAAAAACATTGCTTTTGCATTTACATTCAAGGAAACCATGTTTAAAGATTCCACCATCTGACATACTTCCTGGTGCACCAAGGTCAAATGATACAAACCTTGCCTTTGCATCAGCAATAGCAAGCAAAACAATACTTGAGTACTTCTTGTAATTAAAATATTCTGAACCCGTATTGGGTGGTGCTTTTATATTAATGTGCTTTCCATCTATGGCACCAACTGCATTAGGAAACTGCCACAAATTCGAAAATTCTTCTGCTAATTGTTTCCACTGTGCATGCGTTGTAGGGGGCTGTAAGAAGTCTTTTTTCAAAACATTATAGATTACTTTGCACACAATTGGAACAAATGTTGATATTGTAGAAGTTGACATTCTGAATGAGTAAGAAAGATCTTTATATGATGCTCCAGTTGCAAGAAATCGCAGAGTTACACATAGTTTCTCAAATGGTGAAATAGCATCCCTCATGTTGGTATTCTTTTTCAAAAGAAAAACATTGACCTGATCATACAATTCATCAAACAATGTCGGTTCCATTCTAAAGAAATACACAAATGATAAAATAAAATGGTGTCTACGGTATTAAATAAAAACAAAGTGTGCTCACCTTAAAAAGTTTCCAAAACTTGCGATATCTGTGCGTCTTAACTCTGGAATCAAATTGAATGCAATACCTTGTGATTCTCTTCGTTCTTGTGTGGCCCATGGTCGCACCCACCATCTACGTTTTCGCATTTTTTTACCTTTACGTATTATCTTCATTAAAATAAAAACAGCCAAACTAATACATAAATGTTTCTTTTTCTTTAAAGTCTTGTAACGAGTCATCTTGCGATTGTCAAAAGTTGGCATTTGTAGGACGTAATATCTCGATAAGATAAAGTAACGACGTATTTTCCTTTTCTGCTAACCAAATGTATCGAAGGCAATCTAGTGACAGTGCTATGTAACCAAAAATTTGATAGCCGTTCACATGAACTTATGCATTTGTCATATATCATTTGTCAAAGAAAATTTCCCCGTGTGAACGGGGCTTTTAAAAAACCTGCTATACGTTAGTAGCTATAGTAGTATTTTTATCCCATAAAATACGTACATAAGTTTAGCAAAGCTTATAGGTAACTGCTCTATATTTTATTACTACAGATCAAGGCTGAATTTGCAAAAGTTATGGGGAATAAAGACGTAGCTACACAGGTGAAGGAAAACTTCAACAAAGTCTGGCGTCACAGGCTGTTGGCATATGCTGAGAAAAACGGTAAACATTCAGAAGACTTGAAGAAAATGCACAATGCTATTGATAGTGGTATCCTTGAAGAAGGTATTTCAGCTGATAATCAACTTCATACACATCAGAAATTCTCTTGAAGGAAATTAAACTAAGAAGGATCAGCAGTTGTTTCTCGATCAACATTTGTGTAGCAGTGTGTGCTATTTTTTAGGCGAATGTGCTGGTAGAGCAGCTATCAAAATCGCTCAAACTGTCTTCAAGCAGCCAAACAGCAGGAGGACGCCTCATGTTAAAGAAGCTGTTATCAAAGTTGTTAAGGTAAAACTGGCACTATATCTTTACTATAAAATGAGTATTACCATACTACTTCATTTTTGTTTCTCACATAACAAAAAGATTCAAGAACAACGAACAAAATTCGTAGATTATTGGAATTTTACGTCAAGTATCGTCAAAGTAGCACTGAAACGCGGGCAAAGTGAAGAGGATGTAAAGGCGTCCTTCCGTCAAATGTTTTTCTGTGTAGTCGATACCATTGTCGTGCAGATTGACTCTAGATTCGAAAGTCTTAACAGCAGAGCATTCGTTTCTTTGTTGGATCATTCAAAGCACGAATTGTACAGCCGGAATTTTCCCGAACGAGAGCTGCAATCGTTGCAAGATTCATATGGAACATTCTTTAATCTTCAAGCACTAAAAGTGAACTAATCGTTGTATACGCATCTGCCGAGCTCAAATCGAAACCTGTTCTTGATATGATATCAAAAATAATCGAACTTGACTTGAAAGCCTGTTTTCCAGAGGTTTACCGATTGTGTCAGCTCATTCTTACTATGCCAAATACGTCCTCCTCTGCAGAAAGATCATTTTCGGCTCTCAAGCGTATCAAAGCGTATCTTCGCAGTACACAAGGGCAAGAGCGACTTTCTGCATTGGCTACAATTTCAATCGAGAGGGAGATGTTGGTAAGTTTGCAGGGGAAGCCACGATTCTATGAGGACGTTATAAAGGAGTTTTGCGCAAAGGAAAGACGGATGGAATTTACATTTAAGTAAATCTGTTGTAGGATTTTGGACTATTTCGTTCTGTTACTTCTTCACTACAATAGAAATACACGCGTAGCCATTTACTTAAAACGACTTTATATCACAATACCACATGTAATACTTTTAAACCGTAATTGTAATATATACTCTATAAAAGTTTTTGAATTTTTTAGATTTTTTCAATACTGTTTCAGTCATGACAGATACATTTTTTTCGACAAAGTACTCCCAGAAATCGCGGGAAATGCGCTCCAGTAGCCTTCAAAATCCAAAAATTTTCTGGGGGAGCATGCCCCCAGACCCCCTAGATAGGTTGCTATGCCGCGAACCTCACCCCCAGCGCTTGCCTATTAAATTCGGTCACCGCACGCCACTGGTTTTTTGTGATTCTGGTCACACGTGCTGGCGGCGTCGGATATTCAACATGTTGAATATTTTTGGCAGGAGTGAACATTGCCTCACAGTGTGCGCGCAATCTGAGTTGGCAGCTCAGCACTTAACAGCTAATGCACATGCGCAGTTTGCGTTGTTTTTATTATTACACTACTAACATGGCGAATAAACGAAACAAACGACAGCACTATTGCCATTGAGCTCTATAAGACCCTGGAGGGGCAAAGGGGCCTGGACCCCGTGGTCAAAAACATGGCGGTAATGGCGGATTTTGGTGGTCAAAACTTCCACTTTAAAAATTTTTTTCAATATTCACTCCCTCCTGATTTCTAATACTGTTTGTATGAACGAAAACAAGTGAGAAAAAAAAACAATTACGATACCGACAGCATATCATGTGAAAATAATGCTTCAGCATTGCGTGAAAAACAGTACAGACACACATCAAAATGAAGAAGATCGACGGTAGAGAAACGCATATTTTGGATGTAACATTTAAGTTATTTTATGACATTTTAGCGTTTTAAAAGTGAAAATCAAACGGCATTCTTTACTAGACCTGTCAATCTCGTCAAACTTATACATGATTTCATGCTTTTGTGTGTTTGACTGGTTGTAAACAGTTTGGTGCAACTATTTTTCTTGCTTCAAATGGATAAATCTGTGTAAAAATGCTCCTAAGGAAGCGAGAAAATGTTTGCTTCAGTCCTACGACATAAGTCAACTGAAAGTTTACCATGGATAAGTATCATAAGTGTATTGTCATTACCTGATAAATCTACTGAAAACTCATAAAGAAAGTATGTTGAACTAGAAGAGCTACAAAAAAGAAAAAAATTCAAAATACCATGACACTGTTGCTTGGTAATTTGTATTTTGTAAACAGCTTGGCAGAATCTTGGATCTATTACTGAACAGAACTACATTAATTTTCCATTGAAATTACAAACTTGGAAACTAAAGTGCATTGGTTTCTCTGACAAAAACACTGTCTATTGCTGTATGAAGGCAAAATAGTTATTTGACAGTGTAGGTGAAGAAATTTATCAAGTTCTATAGATATTGTGCATTACTTACAGTTTTTTGGAATTGTGTAATATATGTCATGAACAAGATATAATTTTTCAAAAATGCTAACCCCTTCGAGCACTACTACTCTTCTGTTTTGCTTAAACAACTTACAGCTACCAATACTAATTATTTATATGTACAAACTAACATTTGGGAATTAAATGATAAACAACTTGTTAAATCTTTGCATTTTACATCAAGCCTTTGAATTAGTTCCTTTTATCTCTTTGTAAAAAAATATTAATGAAAGACTTACAAATCAAGTTTCTCAAAAATAGTATTTTGTACAAAGAAACTAAACATAATTGGAAAGGTCACATGTTGAAGACAGACTTTGCTTCTTTGACTAGGTTGCTTGACCATGAGCAAATTTAAATTTGTTTACAATTTGTTTAAAGAATTCTTTTTATTGATTTCTACTAATTCTTCATAAGACACAATGAATTTCTTTACCATCTCTTTTTGCTTCTTCTACATTCAACTTTATTGTAACCAATGCACCCGATGTGAATTTGTGGATCACCTGGAATCATACCAAGTATGGATTTGGTGAGATGAGACAATAATATGTTTAATTATTCATGCATGTTAATGATATAATCATAAGCTACTGTTGAACAAAAATTTCAAGGTAGAAACAAATCTTAGCACATTGTTCAACACACTTCTTTTATCTTGGTTTTGAAGTAGTAACCTGTTTACTATAACAATATATACTTCATTTACAGAAATGCTAAGAAGTACTTTAAAATTGTTTGCATAAATCGAACTTTCCAATCCCATTATAATTGTCTACACTATACAGTCAGTCAAATTGAGCAGGCAAACAGTTTAATAGTTATTTTTATTTTACAACATATACCATAGTTCTCATTAATTTTGCATGGCACTGCATTCAATTTCAACACAACTCTGTTGTAAACTTTCCCTTCATCTTTTCAAAAAAAAAACATGAACAAATTATGCCCCATTTTTGGGAGATAAACTCAATTCAAATCAGGAGAGTTTAGCTTGATGCCTTGATCATGATACAAGATGGATGCAAAACTCGATAAAAATTGACAGCTTCGCCACGTCTGGCGAGCGATTAAGTGAAGAACAAACAAGACTGGACCAAAATAACTTTAAATTACAACTTAGTAGTAGAAACACACTTTAAGTATAGTGTTAAAAACAAAATAGTAAAACTAATACTGTGCTACTTACCGGAGTCAAGAAATGTTCCTTTTCTGTCGCTATTTCAGCATCCGAAAACCACAGAAGTTGGCAGTTTAATAAATAAAATTTTAAAAAAGTGTTTATGTTAGGAAAATAAATAGTTTTGATATTTTCTATACTTGCATTCGTGGTGGTCAAATCAGGGTGGGCGACAAAAATTTTATTTCATGAGCCCGCGTCTCTCCGCTGACTTTGACCACCAAAATCCGCCATGTTTTTGACCACGCGGCCGCGCGCTGATAATTTATAGTAATTTTGTTGACGTTTCCCCTCCAGTTATTATAGAACTCAATGACTATGGCAAGCACTAGTAGTAGTAATGAAAGCCATGATTCGAGTTCAAGCTCGTCTGAAGACGAAGAGGTTTTGCTTTGCTTATTATTGCTGCGAAGAAAACGAAGACGCTTAAGAGCAGCCTGTCGAAAGACCTGGGTAAAACCTTGGATTTTGCGCAGGCAAACGCAAGGAGCAAGTGAGAATATTGTTCGTGAATTGAACTGCGAAGATCCAGAAAAATTCAGGCAATATCACCGACTTGACAGAGACACGTTTGAAGAGGTTTTGACGATAATATGTCCTTTAATTGAGAAAAAAGACACCCACCTTCGGAGCGCTTTAAAGCCTATCGAAAGACTGTCCGTGACATTACGTTTTTTAGCAACAGGTTTGTCCTTTTTGAATTTGTGTTACTAGGCCGTATAATTTGTCCTTTATTAGTTGATGAATTTGTATAAAGTGAAATAATATCTATAGGTGAAACATTCAGAAGTCTTTCTTTCCAATATCGAATCGGTGAGAGAACAATATCTGGAATTGTGGAAGAAACCTGTCAAGCTTTGTACGAAGTTCTAAAGGCAAATATTTAAAGGTATAATTTTGATTTTGTTACATGAACAACTATAACACTGAAAAAAATACTTTTACACTGTTGGGCTTGACATAAAAGAGTTTCGACAAAATTGTTTGTCTACAGAGATCATTTAATAGTTATCATCTCTGTAAGATGCACTGTTCTCCCCATAAATTGAAGGTGGTGGGCTTGTCAACATACCGGGTTGCATGACGGGGTGGAAGTAGTTTCTCTGGGGTTGTGTCACTGTTTGGGTTAGGGAAGGTGGCATCATTGTTTCTAGGGATAGTAATCCAGCTTGTGCTTGGAAATTAATGTTGCTTATTTTGTGCTGTGCTAAGTGGCCTGTTCGACTGTCTAATTCAGACAATGCTTGTGCAAAATAATTTCCAAAAGCTTCAAAAATTGTATTATTCTTTTTTTTCCTTCTCGTCGTCTTTTATTCTTGTTTTCAATTGACTGTGACAAATTTTGTAGCAAGTGAAACTCCTCTTCAGCCTGTTTTCTTTTGGATAAGGTTTGTTTTCTAAGTGGTTCATTTGTAGATGTTGCAGGCATTAGTTCATTACCTACTTCCTCTGTTATGTTTGTTGGGCTACCAGGAGGTGACGGGTGAAGTGATTCAGCTTCACATTCATTGTCATCAGCATTAAAACTCATTTCTGATATTGGAGTATTACCTCGTGATTCCTGAAAAAAAATATTTTATTTTTAGACACCCAGCAATAATCAAGATTGGCTACAAATTGCATCAGATTTTAATAGCAAGTGGAATTATCCATGCTGTTTAGGGGCCATAAATGGAAAGCATATTGCTATTCAACAACCAGCAGATACAGGCTCAGAGTTTTTCAACTATAAGCATTTTTTTAGTGTGATCTTATTGGCCATGGTTGATGCTAATTATAGATTTGTTTATGTTGATGTTGGGGCAGCTGGTAGAGTAGGAGATGCTAGAGTTTTTTCTGAATCAGCTCTGAAAAAAGCACTAACAACAAACTCATTACATCTTCCTGATTCAATAGAATTTCAAGGGATATCAACTACGATATCATATCATGTTGTAGGAGATGATGCCTTTCCTTTAAATGCTCGGTTGATGAAACCATACCCATATCGCAATTTGGAGAAAGACAAGCGTATATTTAACTACAGGTTATCATGAGCTCGTAGAGTTGTTGAAAATGCCTTTGGCATTTTTGCTCATGGGTGGAGAGTATTCTTAACAACCATTAAACTATCTCCTGAGAAGGTCACAGACATAATTTTTGCAGCCTGCTGCCTACATAATTTAATGGTTGATAAAAACAAAGCCAGGTACACATCAGCTGTGGACCAAGAAAAAGCAGATCATACATTGTTGAGAGGAGCCTGGAGAAATGAAAAAGCTTTAAGTAGCATACAACCGACCACCCTCCACAATGCACCAAGGGATGCCAAATTACAAAGAGATCTTTTGGCAAATTACTTTAATGGCTATGGATCTGTTCCTTGGCAACACAATATGGTTGTTTAGCCATACTTTCATACGTGTGATGTTCATAATAAAGTGTGAATTATTTCTTTTTAAACTGTTGTATTATTTAACTGTCCAAAACTTCAATACAAACTTACCAAATCAATACTTGAAACTGAAGCTCGCGTTGCAATGTGAGGTGTTCCAGTAGCCATTGAAACTTAAGCTTACCAAATCAGTACTTGAAGCTGAAGCTCGCGTTGCAATGTGAGGTGTTCCAGTAGCCATTGAAAACTGAAGCTTTTCCAGTAGCCATTGAGTTCGTTTTGTCTCGTTTTTTCTTGCACTCCCACTTGGTGGAGGCTTCTTTGCTTTACTAAAGCTATTTCTTAGTGCTCTGATTTTAGCTTTCACCCATTCACCTAACATGAATTTGAAAAATGTTTAGTAACTTGTTATATCCAGATGGTGCTACGCACATCACCTGCTCAAGAAACATGAAATGACAAATATATATTTTAAAATACCTATATTTTATTTTGGATTTTAACCAATACAGCAGTTTTCATAACCGGGGAATATGTACATTGAAACAAGGATACTTCGAAGTTATACTTTTATCGGTATCTGCGTGTTGTAAAACTTTGAATAGTTTTTTCGATTAATAAAAGAATAATGCCCTTGAAAAAAGTAGTAACGCTAAAAGTTTGCACATAGCGGAACCTAATTCGGTTTGTCTTATAATGGAAATATTAAGCCCTTATTAACCAAGCGCACGGTCTTTATGGGAAAATATCGGACCACATTGTTTTTTAACGACAAAATGATTCTTACGACTGGATCATCCAAATCATCTTTTGTGTATGTCACAGATTGAAATACTAAAGTTGCGAATCATATCAATGAACTCTCTTCTGAACGTTTTATTCAGAGCGACATAAATTATTGGATTGACAGCGGAATGAGCTGCAGCAAGACAACCGCTCACGAGATATACAACGGAGGAAATTTTACCACTGTCGACATTGCTTGATAGAACGTATACGGTAACAAAAGGTATCCAACACACTAGAAACACAAACAAGACGGTGAATACGACTTTCGATGTTTTCATTTCTGCTTTCATTCTGTTTTCACAGTTTGACCATATGTGAAGCTGTCTTCGATGCCTTCTGACTTTTAAATAGATCTTCAAATAGCAGTATATCATCGTGACTAATGGTAACAGGAAACCAATGAAAAAAAGCAACAGCATGTAACTCACTCCAGTCGGCCGACAGTTGGTACTCTTTGGCATAACCTTATATCTACCTATCCCAATTACAGGTCCAAACGCCAAGATAAATGACAAGAGCCAAATTATACAGATTAGCCATCTTGCTTGGTGTAACTTCAGACGTCTTCCTGGAGGAAAAACTATGGCACTGTACCTAGAAGTTGAAATTTAAGAATTTCAAGATATTACTGTGTCCTCACACAGACTTCAAATAGAGCAACACATCGTACACTAAACGCAAATTATAATTTGAAAGCTTCAAGACCAGAGTGAAGAGGGAAGATATCATCATACCAGAACAGTTATATGAAAATTGTGAGAGAAAAAAATCTTATTGTAAAAACATTATGGTGAAAGTTAATTATGTTTTCTATCATATTTTGTCCCAGATTTCCTATTTACTTCATATGAATTACAACATAGCAATGATCGTCTGAGGACATAACTAGCAAGTCAATTGTATACTTGCAATTCAACTGAGCAAATTTAACCAACACATGGTCTGTTGGATGAAACCTACAGGTGTATGTAAGTACATGTTGGGTTAAATAAATTAGTTGAGTGTGTGTATTTATTTATTTACTGTGAATCATCAATCAGGCTATTGCAAATTTCTCAATAGTTTGAGGATGATTACAAGGACAATAAAAAAGACTCCGTAATAGGTGCATCATGAAAAGTACATGACATAAAGTTACTATTCATTCCTCATCTACATTTTATGAGTTTCATGAATGGGTTTCATGAACTGGAATAAATTCCGTTCACAAACCATTTCTACTTTGTATTTAATTAATCAAATAAAGTTATGTCAAAGTAGAATTTCCCTTCTTGTTCAATAGTTGAGTTGTCTCATTTACGTTAAGTAAATGAACAGTCTCTTTAGTGAATGCTTGATTGGAAAATAGGTTTTTGATATATTTTTTTCAGAGATCGGTCGATTTTGCTTTTTTGAAGGACATGAGAACATGCTGATCATTTCAGATTTCAAATCTTTCAAATCCTATTATTATAAGTGGTATTGTAGTTAGGTAAATATAGGTAGATAGACTATAGTTTCGACTGATAGTTTATGCGCAGAAATTTGAATTTTGTATGTATTAATTTCTACAGGTGTGTGTATGTATGGTGTTTTAAATGAATTTCGACGAATAATTGTATTTATGATGTGTTGGATGAACTTTACAGGTGTATGTATGCATATATGGTGCGTTGGATGAATATTACAGGTGTATGTATGCATATATGGTGCGTTAGATGAATTTTTACAGTTGTATGTATGCATATATGGTGCGTTGGATGAATTTTACAGGTGTATGTATGCATATATGGTGCGTTGGATAAATTTTTATAGGTGTTTGTATGTAACAAAAAAAATACACCAGCTATCATGATCAATACGCTTTGGAGTTTACAAATATATGTTTTGATAGTTACTGAATATGAACAAGTGCAATTTGACAGATGTTAATGAGTAATGACATACCTGTCGATGCTGATAAAGGCTAAAGTCCATATTGAGGCGGAGCCAACAAGAATATTCACGAAGCCATTAATCTGACAAACTTTATTTGTTAAAACTTTTCTTCCCTCAATGGTCACAAACATGGAGAAGGGGATCAGAAATACGCCTATCATCACATCAACTACGCAGAGATTAGCAATAAACATATTTCCAACACGCAGGTTCAACTTGTTTCGCTGGCGGTAAATCACGCACAAAACTAAAGTATTCCCAACTAAATCCATTAGCAAAATTGTTGCTGTTGAAGTCGTCAAGCCAATTACAGCAGGCATAGATAAGAATCCTTCGTCTTTCAACATCGTACTGTTGTTCTTCATGGCTTAAAATAAGAGACTAATTTATGTCATTCGATTGAGTCGCATAAAATGATTGTATTAGTATTTGTATTGTAGTAATATTGAAATTCCTTTCCAAAAAATTTGTCTGATTGCAAAAATGCTAGTCGAGACATGCTACGTTGAAAAAGGGACAGTTTCACCAGTTGTGTAGACAAGGGAAGGGACGATTTTCCTGTCAATTGGCTAAAGAACTTCCCATAAAGAGTTAAAATACGGATAAAAATTAAGAGTGGGGGAGAGGAAGTCGACGACCTATGTTACTACCAAATTATGTAAGCTTTTATGCCGAAGTAAGGTCTTTTCAATTAAGGAATTAGATTATAAAACTTTAAAATAAAGATTTGGGTGGGCTACGGCACTGGTTTTTATGTTTTTATTAAAAAAACAAATACATCAAAAGAATAAGTCTATTATATATACAGTGTGCCTTGAAAATTGAAAATTTTACCATTAATGATACAACTTCACTATCTACACTTACTTTGAAGCTCTTGGAATTAATTTCATTTGAATTTGTTTTTACATGACTACGTTCGAGTCTTGATAAGAATAACTGTTTTGTAAAATACTAGCAATATGGAGGGCAAACAGTGAAGGTTTTGTCTTCATAAATGAAAAAGAGCAATGACAACAACAACGAAGACGTACAAAGCTTCTTCGCGAAAGATTGATGATTTTTCAAAATTCATTTGACTTCTCACAACTGTACTACTAAGTATACTTGGTAGAAAAATTAAAATATACCTGTATTTTTTGACATTGCTCAACAAGAATGTATAACTTTTTGTAGGCAATATCGTAAAAAAGATGTTTTTAGAGCATTGTATGCCGACGATTTTGTTTGACTTTGAACTTCTAAGCAATTAAAAATTTTTGCGATGAATTGCTTTTTTCTTAAAATCCACGCACATTATAAATGCAAATTAAATTTCATACTTCACAAACATCTGCTGAACTATGTTACAAATAGTTTTAATTATAGTAAAACAATTCCCTTCATATAAATAACGTGTCGTCGACGACTAGAGCTTTTTTTAGGTGCAGGCAGCATAACATAATAATTATTAAGTGAACCTGTGCTCATCTGTAAATTGGAAATTTTTGAGACACATGCAAAGCAGAGAAATTTTTCTTGAGGACTCTTTGTCATCCTTCGAAGTTATTCAGCACGTTTTAGTGCAACTCGATAACAATTTAATTAACTACATGCATGTAAATATGCAACACCAAGTAGCAACGTGAAATAGCGCTACCATTAATTCTTTTTCCTTGAAAAAAATGATTCAAATACGTTGTCATTGTTACTGTGATTTCTTATGTTTTTAGGATTGATGAACCCATATGCATTGAGCCAATCAGAGTTTTCTACAAAGCATTGGACAGTCTGTTAACTATATTAAGCCGAATCTCCATTTCACTCCCAGTCATAGGCGCCACCATGATATTTTTAAAACAATAAAAAAGTAAGTATATTATTCAAGAGAATTTTTTTTGGTTTTTGCTTCATTAAAATTTTTTCCCAATCGATGAACACCGTTCTCAGCATAGACGCAAAATGATAAAATGTAACCGCAAACGTAAATGTAACTTTAACCGTAAACGGCAAACGAAAAATTTCTTATTTCAATTTCCGTCTACTTTGATGCAAAATTTTACCCACTTCATTGAATATATCTTATACAATATAATATTTTCGTACTCCCACATTAAAACTGCTTTGAATCTATTAACATCAAACGCATGTTAATGCTGCATTGTTGAATATTTTTATTTCTTGTTTCATAATCTTGAGCAAAATCACCAAAGTTATTTGAATATTGGCTGGGACAAATATAATTGACTTCAGTATATTGATCGTTGTTGAGTTTAAAGTGAGAATTGATCTCACTTCTAGCTTCAATCAATAATTGGCATCTTGATAGTTATTCTGTCATTCTCACATTCTCTTGCTTCTGATTGATTGGAAAGTCAAACGGCGTGAGTTCCCAGGAACATAGGAACATCGATAATTGGAAGGGGAGGCAATATTCGTCTGCTTCATATGCTGTCATATTAAGTTACTTAGACATCATATTTTCTACAGATTGTGACATACATAAAGTGAAAGTTCGAGCTGGTTTTGCCACTGCATGAATACCGTTTCCCCAACCCTCTTCCTTAAGTATTGATGTTTCTATGTTCATGATTCTATAAACAAAGACTTGAATTCAACTTTGAAAATCAGAGAGCGCTACGGAATGGATTCCGTTTTTGAAAGCAAAATTTTTCTTCTAAGTAAGTTTATATCATTTACCAATCACCGTTTTCCATCAATATATACCGCAAAGACAAAAGCTAGGCTCCAGTTACAAAGCAAATGTAGATGAGGACTTTACAATGTAACCGTTGTTTATCATATGAGGTGGCTATTTTGACCCGCGTTTGACTTTACCATAAAATGCATGTTAGCGTTTTTCAGCATTAAAAAATGACGTATCATGGAGATATCGTATTAAAAGGGCTAACCGTAAGGTATGGTTACATTGTAAAAACATATATACCACAATTAAACCATGTTTTTGTAAGAAATACAACTTTTATGTATTAAAACAATACCGCGTATATGCACGTTTGTTTAAGAAATAGACCTGACACATTGTGACATATAATTAAAGACACAATTATTTAATTTCTTCGGAGCTTTCGAATTTTCATAAAAACTTTTTTGCATGTCATGGGAAAATGTCCAGAAATAGATAAACGTTAGTCTGGCCATCTTTTCCAAACTACAATCTTTCCAATTTCAATCATCGGTGGGTTCAGTTTATATTTTCCTAACATTACGTATGACTCGTCGTCTATTTTATAGAACAATCTGCTGTTTTCTTAATTTTCGACCCAAGTCGACATCGCTGGGTTTTCCTTGCACTGAATCTGCCTCATCAGGAAAATTGCGTATTTGTTCATGTATGTAATAAATAATACGGATAAATATAGCTACAACATCATTATGAAGAATTTTTCAAGTGCTTACACAAAGTTCTTGCAAAATATCTTCTAAAATTTTTATCACAGATCTTAGTCCGAATAAATAGCTCTCGTCGACTACCTGCGGAAATTCTGAATTCATGTTTTGCGTGTTGCACTGCACGTGTGCAAAGTCAATCATGCGAACGCTAACGTTTGCAAAGCTTTCATAATCTTTTGTCACATGATCATTAGACTCATTGTTCCTGCTGCCGACGACAGTCCTGTGGGGCTCCTCTCGCAACTTATCGCCTTCATACATGAGCAACAGCGATGAATTGAAAAATCTGTACGCCGACTGACGTTCCATTATATAAAGTAGTTTTCTAAGCGTAATCAAGTACGGCTCAATAATATCAGAGCGAAATTGTTCACCGTTAAAGAGAAATTGTTTTATAGCATCCTTAAAGCCGTCGACGGTTAGAGTTCGTCCATCGCTCACCACTAGAAAGCGATCTTCATTCACATGATAAACCTGAAAGAAAAATTATGCAAAATAATCAAAATTTTATTTCTCTATTTATGCATGTGAAGTGTATTTTTGATTTCCTGCAATCCGATTGGCAGTAGCAGAGGGCTCCTTTTTACGATATTTTGATCGTTGTCCAAAAATATATTTTTTTCGCCGAATGTATTTGTTCACAAAGTAAAATTCAAATTTTTAGAATTGATTTAAAAGCCATAGAAACTTTTCAATGAGAAGGGAAAGTATCCAGATGATAGTTATCATAGCGAGAATGACTTTCACCATTCAGAAGTAGTGAAGTTTGTGGAAACATTTCAATTTTAGTCTCAACATCAATCCACATCGGCCATTTTACAATATGAATTTCTGCACAATAAAAATCAAAAAATAAATATAACCCTATTCACACGACATAAACTAACAAGGGATTAACTTTAACCGAGGTTAAACTCAACTTACCTATTGAGATGAAATTCGCAAGCTGTTCGCGAGGACGAATATTTGAAAAAAGTTCCCTTTCATCTAACGACTTTACTCTATAGAAAACTGACTATTTTGACAAAGGAATTTCTCAGACGATATACGAAAAAATTGATGTATGGTCGTAAAGTGTAAGCTCTCTCACGAGCAGAGGAAATTTTTCTTTTCATTGCCGCTCCACATTTACAAACGTAGTCTTTCTAGTCGTTGCAGCAAAGATACTCACAAACTGTTATTTCAGGCATTTTGAGATATATTATTCAAAGAGCAAAAGAAATTGGAAATTTTGCAAGGGCGCGCAGCGCCCGCAGTAAAGTTGAGATTATATGAAAACACAAATGTAAGATATAACAATGGTTTATTCCTCATAACTCGCAATACACAGCAGATGAAGACTAAGTTCAAAAATACAACGTCATAGTCTAATCACCTAGCAACTTTACATCAGTTCGTAATCAGCGACCAAATTACTATAAGCTAATGACAACAAACATGATAAAAGTAATATATAGCTAGACTAAAAAAGACTACAATAGAAAGGCCAAAATAATGGCCCGTAAAAATGGAGCCTCCAATGTCCACGACAGAGACTCCTGTGAGCAGAACCACAACTGAAAAATGACTAATGCTGAGGTTGTCTAAACATCAGCCAACGTAAACATCAATTCTCCTTCTCAGGACTGTACTCACCTGGACGATTTAAATCTACAAACATGTAAGATACTCCCGGATTCAACCATTTACTTGAAAAGAAAGCAAAACGTGACGTAATGGGAGGGTGGGAGGGATTGTTATATCTAACTTCTGTGTTTTCATATAATCTCAACTTTACTGCGGGCGCTGCGCGCCATTGCAAACTTTCCAATTATATATCAAACACAGAAGTTTCGATATAGCAATGCTTGTTTAAAGCAATCTGCACAAACTAGATGCGATGATTACAGTGCCTGGGACAGCACTGCTCTAGCGTTTGAACGGTCAAAGTTTGGTCGATAGTAGAAACGAGTAAAGGTAGAGATACCCGACCAGTTCATCATTTTCATGATCTCCTCCAGTGACACCCCAGCTACTCTAGCCTTGGAGGTTGACGCCTACTTCTTTGAATGACCTTTAAATAAAGCCATCTATACCAGCGCAATTTAAAACCGATTTGATCCATCTGGCAATCAGCTAGGAGCTGAATATCCAGTAGGCTAAGTAGGCTTGAGCCCACAGTACCGGACTTTCAAGAGGCCCGTTGCATCTAGACATAATTGGGATATGGATATTTTTTCCTATGCCAGGCTAGCTAAAAGTGTTTAACTTAGATCACTTATGCTGTTAAAAATCTAACAATCAATTGAATGCAGAGAAAAATGGCTTTCGTACTATCTATACTGTTCAAATGCACAAGAAAATGCAAAAGTAAAGAAAAACTAAAGTTAGTGAGAGAAATTGAGCCCAAAACTTTGCCTTAGCCTACAGGCACCGTAATTAGTAATCCGCTACTGCTGGCAATCGAACATGACCGGACAGGACAGTGAGGTTTGTGATAACTAATCAAAAGCTTATTAGGAATGTCATCGTTGTGGCCTGTTCTAAAAGAGCTTGCTCGCACAATATAGTACTGTCAACATTGAAGCACCTAAAGTTTCTGGCACTCTGCATGTTCCACCTGGCAGTTAAAACTCTAACCCTTAGGCAGGGAACCCAGAAAAACGAAGGCCAAGAAGTTTCATCTCCGAAGAACGCTTTGGTACTGTGGTAGGCAGTAAAACAGATAACTTATAAGTCAGTAATCAAAGACCCCGACCAGAACAACAAGCACAGTATCATGGTTCCGAGATTGTCCTTAGCAACGCAGAGTTGGGTGCAGATTTAAGACGCCCTTTAATTGACAAACGACTAACGAAGGGATGTTGAGCAACAAGAAAAACCATCAAGCGGTGGCGTGGACGCATCACAGACAAGAAAGAACAATAAGTATTAAATATTCTGAACATAAAACTTTCATCAAACGAGGCTGCGAGGAAGCCTGTTAGATATCCGCACAAAGTGGGCCGAAAAACCATCAAGCGGTGGCGTGGACGCATCACAGACAATAAACCTTCATTGTGAAACAAAAACCATGCCAATTTTTCGAGCGGAATTGTTCACTGCAGCTGTGCTTGGCCGCCAAACTACCAAGATGAGTTTGGAAACGTTTGCACAAATTCCCTGCGATTGCAAGGATCGTTAAATATGTGCCAGCGGCTAGTCCTGTAGCCCCGATAGGAGATTGTTACTTCGTGGTAAAAGAGCTGGATACGAAAATCAACTATTCTCCAAACCGGATCCCGCGTATTTTCGCTTAAGTTTGCATACTTGAGCAAAAAGGAGGAAAGGCATAGTTTTTCCAATATAGACCATGCAGTTCTGCCGAGCGGCACCCACTGTTAGAGGTAAAGGATCTAGTCTCCAAATGCAAAAGAGACGCAACTGAGAATGAACATTGGATTTAAAGCCCAGGAAAACAAGCGGGTGATAGAAGCCCTGACTGAAGTTTTGTCTATGATATCGATGTGATCAATCAAAAGGATCAATCATACAAAGGAGCCGCAAGTATGGCCTGAATGGACGCGGTCAGCTTCCAAATCAGCGGAGATAATTCCCTTACTGACAGTTTGTTTTGGGCTAACATACACAAGTAATTGGTTTTTATAACGTCCACATTGGAGTCGTGGTCAGATTGTCCCATAAATCCGACGAATTCCAGTTGCTGAGCTGGACTGAAGCACGACACTCGAGATATAAGACAGACCTGAAACTTTCTTACAGATACCGTACTGTTAATTCCATGTCCTGCAGCAGACCCTCACTGACTGATTCATACAAGTAAATAGTATGTATTTGTAAAGGGAAACAAGCAAATTCTAGAAGCTTGTCCTTCCAGTGAACGCGAAAGAACTTCTGGTGATTCCTACAGACTGAAGAGACGAACTCGGGGTTGAGTAAATGAAAGGTGCATCCCTTCTAATTTGAAATGTTGGTACTGAATGAATGCATTTTGGGGTCAATAATCGGTTACGATTTCCCGTGGCGATTTGGGAGCAGAAAATATTGCTGGCAAACTTGTCTAAAACTTGACTAACCACGTTTAGGTTCACCGTTTTTATCGGTGATGAAGTAGAGTTTTTTGGGGGTTTTATTTGTTTGTTTGTTTTGTTTTTGTTTTATTTTGAGCGTGAAAGTGCAACGTTCTTTCCTTGTTTGAGCCAAAAGGTGAATGAAATCTAGCTTGTAACCCCCGATAATTTCCAAGTTAATAGAATCTGCCGTAATTAGGCGTGCAGGGTTTGTTACAAGTATGAAAACGACTTTGAAATGACTCAAAATTGAAAACTACATTGAAGGGCATGATCTACTTAGTTTAAAACCATTTTCTTCATTGTTAGCGTTTTTGATAAAGCATTTCATACCCATTAATTTTTTTGAAGAAACCCAATAACTAACTAGTCTGTGTTAAGAGAAACTGCCCAAAAACTGATTTTGTAACGAGATTGACAGATACCAACGCCTTGTTCTCATGACCGGGGAAAGCAGCCTGGACCATTTGCCGGTTGTTTACGCAAAGGCAGTAATTGTTTGTTTATAAAGTTGCCATAGCGACTGGCGCCAACAAGACTGTCAATCTCTTAGAACAATTTTTATTTTACTGTACCAAGCTTCTTTAAATTCGCGTGCGTGTTTAGTCTGTGCGCGTCCGAGTACTGTAGTTTCTCTGTCCAGTCGAATGTGTGGTTTTTTCCGTGGGTATGTTTTGCCGGTAGTGAGTTCGGATCTCGACGTTATATGGCGTTTTTGTGTTCTGTGAGTCTTGTTTCGATTTTCTTTGATGTTTGTCCTATGTGGTGCTTCGAGCCTTCATCAGAAAGATATAGGAAGTTATATACAGATGTTTTTCATTTGTAGACGCTTAGAGCGTCTAATTGGATTAGCGGGTGGATTAATGTGATTGGATGGCGTTGTCATGGGTTTTGGTGTATTGTGAACATGATTGGTGTTAATGTTATTAGAGTGTAATGTTGTAGTTTTGGTCTTGTTTGTATTTTTTTTATATATATATAAATTTAAAGATTGGTAATCCAGGCATATTAAATGTATAAAAAAATAAAAGTTTCTCCGAATTGTATAAAATGATTTTATTGAGCTTTCAACTCGGTGCTTCGAGCCTTCATCTTCACATATATATATATTGATTCGGAATAGCCAGGAACAAACAACTCCGTTTAGACCAGGTCGAAGCATTCCGCAAAATTTTCGATAAAACCTTTACGGCCATCTACTAGCTATAGGCACAATTTGCGATGCATTGCCCACTGAAACAACAGCTGGATGTACACCAGCGCAGTTCTCTAGGCTATTAGAGCCAAATCCACAGTTTGGGTTAAAAACCAAAAAATTCAAACTCACAGCCAGCAACTTTAAGCTGGCGACGGTTAAGAGCTGCTTTAAGCTGGCGCCTCAAGAATCTTTGCACCTCAAGAATTTTTTGTTTAACGAGTCAACTG